GATCATAAGGGCGTGGGTGACAAGGTATACTGGGTGGAGGTGCATCTCCTGGGGGGGGGAGGGGATGTATGATAGTGGTCGAGTAACATCGGTGGCAAGATGGAAGGATTATGAGGGGAAAATTGGGTTGCTGGGGCGTGAATCTGTAGTTGCTTTTATGGAGTGGCGGTACAGTAGCATCTCCAATAGCTTTTGTGCCATATCCTACTAGGCTATGGGACAAAAGTTGCTACATAAGGGTATGTACAGGCCGAAAGCCTAGGTTGTACCCTTGGTACTGGAGCAATGAGAGAATGGATGATGCAGGTAAAATGCGGTGCTCATAAATGGAGTGGCGGCGGACAATGATGACTGCGAACATGGATGGCGTCCTCTGGTGACGCGGCGGTTGGTTGGCGTGGATTGCGCGAGCAGAAGTTGTGTTCCACGGATGTTGGTTGCCTCGTTCGGAGCCTGACGGGGCATTATATCTTTGGGGATGCGGGGCAGATGATTGGGCGGTCTTTCTTGCGGTTTCCGCCAGCAAATGCACACACATGCGGGGGGCTATTGGGCAGACTGCAACGGGCGTACAGTAACGGACAGGGGAAAGAAATATTATCGAGAGGGGGGCGGCGCAACAGGGACGAGGAGCGGGTTCTCCCTGGTTGTAAATAAAGTTTTTTATCATCGACGAGGAGGGAGTAAAAAGGTTTTACATGGGGGCATCATACAGTGCTTGTGGAGGGCGGTCTTCGTTGTTACAGTACCAACGGTACGGTATGAGAAATCCAACTGTGCAGCGGTGGGGCATAGCTTTCCGAGGCGCCGATGAGGCAAGCGGGCAGGGGCAGGCAAGTGGCAGAGGCGAGGGGCGGAGGCAGAGAGCGGAGGCAGAGAGCGGAGGCAGAGAGCGGAGGCAGAGAGCGGAGGTAGAGAGCGGAGGCAAGGAGGGTATGGACCAACTGGGCGGCACCACGAATGCATGCGGCGCCGGTTGTGGAATATGGCTGCGGGATACTGTACCCTTCGACGGGTTCTCCCTGGTTGTAAATAAAGTTTTTTATCATACGCGATATGCACCGTGATTTTAATACAATTCTCAATAAACTCAATTACAGTAGGGGCAAAAGAAGCCATTGAATTTCTTGAAAAACTCAAAGTATGGCAACCTATCACAGCACTCCGCCTGTCCAGTCCAAATATCCGTTGCAACCCCCATAGAAAGAGGAGGTTTAGACGAAACGTTGGATTTCGATGCTGAGCGGTATCTATACAACCCGCGGCGGGGCCGAAAACCGGGCCAATTCGAGACAGATTTCCTTTTTCTACTGTAATTTACACTCCTGTAGCAAACGCCCTGTCATTGCTGGCCTCCACATTGGTTAATTGGTACACCACAGAATATAGGCTATAAACTACAGCAAACGCCCTGTCATTGCTGGCCTCCGGCGTCATCGTGAGTCGGGCGAATTCAAGCAATGTTGCCGCAGACTGCATACTTGTATATGCATATTATTCCTTTGTCTCTGCCACCAGCGAGAGGCCTGTTACGGAACCCTTGCACTGCACACACCATGCATGCTGTAGACGCGCAGGCGGGCGTAGAGGGTACAGTAGAGGACTCGACTTGTGCGGTCGGTCGACTGCAGGAACAACGTGGTGCCATATTGGAAGGGAGTCGAGGCGTTTTCACGTGTCATCGCCTTGTCGGGCGCGGCAAAAAGCTATTGCACCAGCGTGCGCTTTCAAACGCCGCGAGCGCCCGCATCGTCAGGGCGGTATATTTAGAAAGAGAGGAGCCCTGCTTACCGCCGCCATGGCTACCGCCGAGCAGTGCAGCAAGGATGCCCGCTGCGGCACAGAGCATCGCCACCGTCAGCATCGGGACCCGTCAGCGGCGGGACCCGTCAGCGTCGGGACCCGTCAGCGTCGGGACCCGTCAGCGAGCGGCCCGCCACGCAGCATGCGGGCCGGGCTGCTGCACTACGCCAGCACAGTATGCACCGAGTGCACTACTGTACCGCAAGCCGCCGGGCGGGGTAAGCCGGGCGGTACGGCAGCTGCTCCAAGCAGCGTGGCGGGATGGCGGTGAGCGGTCCGGGGCTGCCGCGAGCACCGAGTGGGGGGGGGGCGCGGGGGGGGGCCGCCGTACAGTAGCGCAGCCGCCGCCGAGCGCGGGCCAATGGCGTGCCGCGTGGAAAGGAGCGCACGCCAACCATTGACTCAAAAACTACCCCCCACAATTGTGCGTCTCCAATTTCCCGTATTGCCAACCATTGGGGCGCCCACGCCGTCCGGATACGCCCCGCTGTCTTCCGTCGCCCGCAGCACACGCGCCCGCAGCACACGCGCCCGCACCCTGCGCCCGGCCCCGATGAGGCTAGCGCCACGCCGGCCTGCCGTCGTGGCGGCCGCGTCTGCGCAGGGAGGGGTGCGGGTGCGGGGGCCGGGGCCGCGTGAAGGGCGCGGACCCCCCGCGCGTTCCGCACCTGCGCGTCCGAGTTATGAATGAATATATG